TATATATATATATGTATATATGTGTGAGTGTGTGTGGCAGCCAAACACATTAATCGGGCATGGCAAAATCTCAGAAATAAAAAATTAAAAACAAACAAACACCCGCCCATGCTCTTAATGCTCAACTGTGTATGTCAACGTTGCCATCACCTTTGCGGCGGCAACAACAACGTCACCAACAACAGCAACACCAACAACAACAACAACAGACAAAACACAAAACGCTGACACTCGTGAGGTGTTGGCATGTAGCCTGTTGAAGAGCGAAAATATTTACACACGGCACACACACACATGCATGCAGCATGCACACATCCACATGCACACACAAACACTCATACACATATGCAGAAATGTGATGAGCGGCGTTTGTGGGGGTTCGGTAGGCCATCATCATTGAAATGGGCATCGTTGGCGACGACGACGACTGAATTGAAAAGCGCTCGAGGGCATTGATTATTTCATTTTTTTTATTGCCAGAGAATCGTTGGGTCTATATTGGAATATTGTGGTGATAACTCGTGTGCTGACCAGTGTGGGGATGGGTTTTGAGGTTGTAAATGTGTGTACGGACCATTAACAGCCGTGCGAGCGATGCTTGTAATAACGTTTACATTGACAAATTTGCCGACGACCGGTGGGCTCATTCGTGTCTATTTTTTTCCCCGAGACTTCTGGTGGACTGCAGCAACAGCATTTGGCAAATAGGCGATATTATCAAAACGATTAAATTAAAAGCAAACAGATTGCACATACATCATTACGATACCGAATATTATCTTCTTCTTCCGCTTACAAAACTGAGTTGCTGAAGAAGAGCTGAGCTAGAGACTGGCAAACAAAGTTCAAGTTCAAATTTCAAATTCGATCAGCTCTAGTTAAGGCATCGATAGGATTCTAAATTTATATTAATATACTATGTTGTGCCACTCGCTGTGTTTTTATGCTTCAATTCGTTGAGTTTTTTGCAGACTAGAGTCACCTACACGTCAATTAGAGATAACAGCCGCAAAAGATATCAATTTACAGTCTCGAGCCGGAGGAATCGAGCTGATAGCCCTAGAGGATGTCAAATTGCGCGCACTTGATGGCAGCGTGAGTATAATATATATTCTAGCTATATTCTATTGAATCTCAACTGGAATAGCCTGCATGTGCAATGCAACAATTATGCAATATACCCCATTTTCCTGTTCCCCTCTACCAACTGCACAGCTGCGTTTGGAGTCGTCCAAGATAATTATGCCCAACTTGCGCACTGCTCAGCCGCCGATAATGGGATCTGCTCAGAATCGAGATCACATGCATCGAGTCTTCCAACTGTGTGCCTGCTTTAACGGCAAACTGTTCCTCGCCTCGCCCCATTCGATATGCGCCGGCGATGACTCAACAGTTTGTAGATGATAAGTTGGTCTGGAGGAGTAAATGTTCCCGCATATAGGAACTATACGTACATAATGTGTGTGTGTGTGTGCATCTATAAGCAAAAGTATTTAATATGGCCATGAGCATATGAATATACAATCGTAATTATAGATCATATGTAGAGCATAGCGCATCATAATTGGTGCTCACATCATATAGGCATAACATATATTCGTGCATACATATACTGTACATATTCATTTGCAACAAATAATATAATATTTATTGTTCTTAAACAACGACGAGAATACAGCTATAGAGCATATGCTCGATGAATACATTAGTATCGATATTATTATATGTTGCATATAAACTGATGAATAGGCCACAAAGTCGTTGGCCATATAGTGCTACTAGAAGCCGATGTACCGTTGTTGTTTCTATTTAAAATCCACAATACTGCGAGATTGTCGAGAATCTGAATAGTGCTAACTGTAGTCTATGTACGTATGTCTGTCTATATACAAGTAACTCGAATCAACTAGTGCAATACATATTTAATAACTTGACATATTGGGGTATGCAGCTATTTTTATTAATCGACCTAGCCCTCTATATACATATATACATAAATATAAATGAATACTGAACACGAGAACAAAATCGAGAGCTTCTTGCACTTGCACGTTGTGTACATGCAGTTAATATATCAACATACGAAGTTTACAACTAAGTAACAATATATATATATATATGTAATGCTAATCTATAAGTGGTGGACATCTACCTACATACCTTACCAGCACGTGGGAATAGCAGTTCAACTCGGTGCGAGCGACACCAACATCAGCCCAATCAAATTTAAGACGGTGCCTCTTTTTGACAGATAGGACCAGAAATAGATTTCATTTTCACCTCACATCTCATTTGAACCACCCCAGCTAGTTTTCAATTTAGGATCATTTGAATGGGTATAGATGCCCAAAGCTGTTAATTTGTTTGATATTGAGCTGGAGTGAATATAAATTACTTTCCAAGTATCGGGATCGTTGAAAGAGAAATAAGCGATGTATTTATTCACATACGTTATGTATATAAAATTAATGAATGTCAACACACATTTTCCTACATGCAGAAGATGAACATTATTACTCAATATGTACTATTAATGTAATCACGAAAAAGCTAATGTACATAGGTCGAAAATCAGATAAGTGCAGAAAAAAGTATACAAATAAAATACGTTTGTAGCAATTGTTGTTAAATGCTAACAGTAAATAACGAAAATCTAACATTAATCACAATACGAAGACAATGAAGTATCATTCAATGAACTATAAGAGCTATTTATATGTAGGAGTACGAATATGAATAGGATGTTAATATATTGCCGTTGAATATACATATGTATGCCATTTAGAGAGTGGAAACATTTCAAACAAAAATGCTTTTAAATGGGAATTTACGAGTATAATTGTAATATTCTTTGTTAGTCAAGTAGATATCTTTTTTTTTGCACGATAAGTTTACACATATATATCTATATATACATATGGAAACCATATCAGCAATATATATATAAATATATATATGAATAAATGAATATAATAACAAACAAAGAAATAAATTATATACCTACATATATAAACAACAACTACAAGAGCAACTAACAAAGAAAGCAACATATTTCTTACTGCCGCTTGCAATTGGCTGAACGAACAGTTTTTTTATTCGACGATAAGGATTTTGCGCACTTTTTCCACTCAAAGCACTCAAAGCGAGGCGACGACTCAAGCCGAGTGCTTCGTTGGTTAACGCCTTCTAGCACCACTTCAATTGAATTCAATGCTATTTGAAGTGCTTTGTGGGTGCGTCTAAGCGAAGGCAGCGCCGAGGACACCGAGGACACTCGCCAGGCTCACTTGTGGGAGTTACCGACGAGGATCCGAAGGCGAGCGTAGCGCACGTCGCACGACGCTCGCTCGTCGTCGACTAGTTCGTTTTAGAGAATTTGAGCGACAATTGAGTTACTTTTCGAGCTAATTTTGACCGGCTGTAACAATTTGAGCGTGCGTAAGCTTGGCGTCTGTTCGAAAAAAGCTTTATGAGTGTACGGGTATACCCGACGGCGCAATACGGTTTCCTCTCTATTTTCGATTTGCATTGTCTGACCCGCGTGCAACGTCTAAATATATCACACAGGTATGTATTAACAGTATATATTTATTGTTTTCAGAGGGAGTGGGCAGTCTAGCAAACCGATATACCCACTTGCGCTATGTGCGCAGAATATGCGAGTGCTCATTCATTATACTGAATGAAGGAAAAAGCTCAAACTACAAATTTGTAGCGCATTAGAATATTTTGCGTTGTGGCGAAATGTAATTTGGTTTAGCCTCATTCCGGATTTTTAATGAACATGTGGAGATGCTTCAATTGTGTAACATAAATAATAATTGAAGTTGGAAAATCTTTCAAAGAGCTTATTTGCGATGCGCCTAATCGCTGGTGAAAATTCGTTGAACAGAAGAAGAGAAGTGATTATTATCAACCTATTTACTTAATTCATTTTATTTAATTGAATTTGAATTGATTTGTAATATTCTTTGACTCATACATTAAACATGTACTCAGTATTTTAAAAATACTATTTTAAGGAAATGTTTATCATTATGGAACAGCAAGGCAAAGTATTATCATACAAATCCATGATGAAAAGAGATAAATATTTTGCCCAAAGATGATTAAAGTTTAGGCATCAACGAGTGCATTCGGCAAAAATACATGTATCAACTTTTTAATTTCCTGAAAAGTGCGGCTGCTTTGGCGTGCTCAGGCATTTAGCCAAGTAACTTGCATGTATATCCCCTTCATTTTGCTCTACTTGAGAGTCTCAATCCGAACATGCAATTGCCAGTCAAGCAGGAACAGAAGCAAATTTGTCGATTTACATAATTTGGAAATAATTTTCTTGAAAATGAGTTATCTGACGAGCAGGGTAATGATAATTAGTTGAAGTTGTCGCTCGTCTTTTTTACCACCCCTCGAACACTCATTTTAATGTGTCTATGTGTGTGTGAGTATGCCACTTTACACGCTATATGTATTTAGTATTCCATTAATATTCTAAAAGCCGCTTTTGTACTTTACTTCGCATCATTGGCGCAGTTGCATGTTGTTCCTTTTTTCACATGGCGCGCGGTGCTCTCCGGGTACGTATGTGTGTGTGTTTTAAAGGATGGAAGAATGTTGCCCAAAATGTTAAACAAGCAAGTAGTAATCGCATAAAATTTTCTAATTACCTCACCAGCACACCCATGCATAGATATGAATAGCTATGGAAACTTTCCACAGCGACGTCTAGTTGCTGGCGCTCATGGGGCTGTCGCCAGATACTGGTACTGAGTCTGGGCCTCGTTCTGAGTCTGGGTCTGGGTCTGGGTCTGGGTCTGGGTCCAGGTTTGAGCGTGTTACCTGGTGCTGGACTGCTGCTCCCTTCTCACTTTATCAACAGACGCAAGTGGGGCTGACTTATGCGTGAGCATACGTGGCTATCAAGTAGTTTAAATTTAACACGTTGCTCAACTTTAAATGGCGCCTGCCTTAAAATATGAATGGGAGCACCTCAGAGCAAGCTCCACCTGCCACGGCCTATTAATTTTTTAAGCACCACACCAGCTCAGCAGCCGCATGAACCAGTTAACAACAAACACCACTTGCCCCTCGACCATGCTGTGCTCCGACCTCCTTGTGCTCGTAGTGCAACAGTTGGCTAACGGATCCTGCGTTTTTGCGAACTTGCGCCAAAACTGACAAATTAAGTATGCATGAGAGTGGCTGCGACATACTGTCGCAGCTAATAGGATTTGCATGCAACATGGAATCTAATTAATTGTTTCATTTACTTACAAAGTACCCATCTCATATTTGTTGTGGCTGGGCTGGCTGGGCTGGCTGGGCTAAGTCTTTTCTTCTCGTCTCCTCTCTTATATGTACAAATATATTTATATTTGTTTATTTATTTATTTATTTATTTATTTTTTTTTTTTGCTGGCAGCAGCTCGTATACATAATTTATTTATTTATTAAGTTATTAAATAAATCGCTAGCCTCACATATTCCTCACGGAATACGGCGGGTAGTTTGAGTGCTAGACCTGCTCCGCCCTCTCATAGAGGGCTGGTGCTGGTGATGATAATGATGATGATAGTGGTAGGTGGTAGATGTTAGGTGGCAGTTGGTAGATGGTAGATGGTAGATGGTAGATGGCAGGTGGTAGCAAAGCGCGCGTGTACACTTACCTGACTTTAATTTATTTGCATGCAAGCAGACAATGTAGCGCGGCGTTTGTCGAGAAAGCGAATTCTCTAGAAAGGCGCTTGGCTGTGTGTGGGTATGCACAAGCACACCCACAGATACGTATATATGCAGATAGCAGGAGCAGCAACTCCTTGGCGCATGCAGCACTTTGCGTTATGCGTGCTGCAATGGCATCATCGACAAAGTCCAGTACATGAGGTACAACTAGTCGTTGCCTCAGATGTTGCTGTTGCAGTTGCAGTTGCTGGGCTTGGTGTTGGTACTGGTGCTGCCTTTGGTGGGGTGTGGGTGCCTTATCGGCAGCAGTGCCTGCGCCAGTTTCAGTCTGTCGGAATGTTTGGGCGACCGACAACTAAACGAATTTATGTCGTAATGAATGTCGGTTGCCGCATATCACGCGCTGCCTATCTGCGGCTTATGCCACATCGGCACTTCTTTCACCGAGTCTTCTTCACCGGCTTCCATGACCGCACGCCACCTGTTTTCTGCTGTCTGATTAAAGTCGAGCATTTTTTGCTGTAGTTCCGCAATTCGGTAAGTTCGAACAGTTACTCTAAACATTTTTGCCTGGCACCTAGTGAAAGGAGAGCGTACTATTTACGAGATTGCTTATCAGTTGCGGGCAGCGCTTAAAAAGTGCATTTACCTCTTTTTGGCAGCCGACCCGCCGGCATATCGACCACCACTCACCCAACAAGCTAAGCAAGCTAAACAAGCTAAACAAGCTAAACAA